TCTACTCAGATCAAAGGTAAAAGTATCAGAAGATAATAATATGCATTGCAGCTGAAGGCAAATTAACTCAGTCCATTTTTTGGTCTGATAGTACATCTTATAGTCCAGATAAACTTGGGTTTGAGTTCCTCACTTAATAGCTGTTATGATCTTCAGTAGGTTTTTCAAGTTCTTTGAGTCTGTTTCCTCATATCTATGATGGAGTGGTAATATCTACTTTATGGTTGTGTTCTGTGGTTTATGGTTACTTGTGACTAGTGCCTGGCTCAGTGCATGGCATATACAAGAGATACAGAACATTATTACTCTTCCCTTTACTCTATGCCAATCATGTTATGGGGGAGACTTGGAGATTTGATCATAAATCAGACTGGGTACACTATGAAATACTTGAGAAATACATGATTTTAGCTGAAATTATGGGTTCATTGATTGATTAAGTACTTTTTGTTATTCTATACTCCTGATTAGTCATCCATTCTTTCATTTTTGTGGGGAGTCTAGAGATAGAGCATGCACTGTTGACCTGTTAGTGTCTACCAGTGGTCCTTTTGCCACTTCCAGGATAATGAAAGACCAGAACATTTAAGCTCCAGTGTATTTCACACCTCCCCTCACTTTTTTTTTTCCTGAGTTGGAGTCTCACTCCATCACCCAGGCTGGAGTGCAGTGGCATGCTCACAGCCATGCTGCCTCAACCGGCCAGGCTCTGGCGATCCTTCTACCTCAGACTTCCAAGTAGCTGGAATTACAGGTGAGCGGTACCACGCACAGCTAATTTTTTGTTTTATTGTGGAGACGCGGTCTCGCCAAGTTGCTGGGTCTGGTCTCAAACCCACAGGTCCAGGCAGTCCACTTGCCTCTGCCTCCCAAAGTGCTGGGATGACAGGCTGAACCACTGAGCCTGGCCGTCTCCCCTCACTTTTTGTGCTATTGGTCTCATATATTTTAATGACATATTTTGAACTCTAGAAGACATCACTAATAATGCATCATACAGTCAGTATTCAGTAGGTTTACCCAGGTAGTTACTTTTTCTGTTGCTCTTTTTGCCGTCTTACATTTCCGTGATTCCAAATGGTATTATTTTTCTTCTGTTTGAGATCTCCCTTGGGTATTCCTTTTCGGTGCAGCTAATGATCTTGCCCTTGATTGGAATTGGTTGAAAACTTATTTATTTTACCTTCCTGTTGAAGGATTTCTTGTTTCTGTTTATAGAATTTGAGGTTCGTGGTTTTCTTTCGTCACTTTGTTGCTGATCTTCCATGGTTTGCTCGTGAGCATCATTTCTGTTGAAAGTCAGCTGTCAGCTGTACTGTTGCTTCCTTCTCTGCCTTCCAGCACTTTTACTATGATTTATTTAGGTAGGGGTTTCTTTGTATTTATTCTGCTGATGAATCTGTGGCATAATGGCTTTTGTTGGTTTAAGAAAAGCTTAGCCATTGACTCTTTGAAAATTAATTCTGGCTAATTCTACTATATTCTCTTTCTCTCCTCCCTGGCCTCTATGACACATATATTTAATGTTGTTACTGTATCTCACAGACTCTTTTCTGTTTTTGTTTTATCCTTTTTGACACTCTGGGTTTCAGTTTGGATAACTTATACTGACTTCTTTTAATCTACATCTAATCTGCCATCAAACCCATGACTGATACTTTCAGATACTGTATTTTTTAACTCTAAAATTTCAATTTGGTTGTATCAGTAGATTCCAGTTATGGGATAAAATCCTGTTTTCTATTATTTAAGTAATTTTTTTTTGAGTTGGAGTCTCACTCTGTCTCCCAGGCTGGAGTGCAGTGGCATGATCACAGCTTACTGCAGCTTCAACTCCTGGGTTCAGTCAATCTTTGTGCCTCAGCCTTCCAAGTATGAGATGATGAAAGCTGATTGTTTTTTCAGCTTTGTTCATACTCCAAGGACATAGTGCTTCTGGGTTGTAACTGAACATGAGGGTATTTACTATAGTCTACCTTTCTTTGTGGACCCCAAATTTTCCCATATTTCCCCATACCATGAGATGGTCAAAAACTTTAGCCTCAGCCAGGCTTGGTGGCTCAGCCTGTAATCCCGCGCCTTTGGGAGGCTGAGGTGAGTGGATTGCCTAAGCCTGTGGGTTCGAGACCCGCCTGGTCAACTTGGCGAGACCTCATCTCTATAATAGATCAAAATGAGCCGGGCGTGGTAGCGCGCGCCTGTAGTTCCAGCTTCTTGAAAGGCTGAGGCGGAAGGCTCGCTGGAGCCCAGCAGGTCGAGGCTGCGGTGGCCAGGAGCGGCCACTGCACTTCAGTCTGGGTGACAGGGTGAGACTCCAACTCAAAAAAAAAAAACAAAAAAACTTTAGCCTCTTAGTTTTTGTTTTCTGCTTAGCTTCCCAGTCACTTACCTTCCCATCCCCTAAATGTATTTTTCATGTCAGTTGCCTCTAGAGGAAAAGCAGTATAGTATAGTCAGGCTCACTTCTGCACTGTTGCCTTTTCCCCTAAAATACTGGTTTCTCAAACTCTGACTTTCTTAGTGTTTCTAAACTGTAGTTGTCGTCTTATTGGTGCTGGGAGCTCTGAGCTCTAACTTATATTAGGATGGTGCAAAAGTAATTGCAGTTTTAAATTGCATGAAATTTAAATCAATAAAACTAGGCTCAAACACATCTTTATTAACCAAAATAGGAACCATTACAGTCAACATATTTTTGCTAATGAGAAATAAGTTAGTTTATTCCTGTAGCATAAAAATCCATGCTTTGGGATTTGATGAACTCTTGGAAAGCATTTTCTGCATCCTGCTGGTTGTGGAAACATTGTCCCTGCAAAAGGTTGTCGAGATGCCTGAAGAAGTGCCAGTTGGTTGGCAAGAGGTCAGGTGAATATGGCAGATAAGGCAAAACTTCATAGCCCAATTTGTTCAACTTTTGAAGTATTGGTTGTGTGGCATGCTGTCAGGCATTGTCGTGGAGAAGAATTGGGCCCTTTCTGTTGACTAATGCTGGTTGCAGGCATTGCAGTTTTTGGTACATCTCATCCATTTACTGCGCATACTTCTCAGATGTAATGGTTTGGTTGGCATTCAGTGGATCAGACTGGCAGCAAACAAACAGAAACAGTGACTGTGACCTTTTTTAGTGCAAGTTTGGCTTTGGGAGGTGCTTTAAGGCTTCTTCTTGGTCCAACCACTGTGCTGGTCATTGCTGATTGTCGAATACAATCCACTTTTCCTCACACATCACAATGACTGAGAAATGGTTTGTTGTTGCATGGAATAAGAGAAGATGACACTTTAAAATGATGTTTGTTTGTCTTTTTATTTTCGGTCAGCTCATGAGATACCCACTTATCAAGCCTTTTCACCTTTCCAATTTGCTTCAAATCCCGAAACAACCATAGAATGATTGACATTGAGTTTTTTGGCAACTTCTCATGTAGTTGTAAGAGGATCAGCTGTGATGATTGCTCTCAGTTGGTTGTTGTCAACTTATGGCCGGCCACTATGCTCCTCATCTTCAAGGTTATCATCTCCTTTACAAAACTTCTTGAACCACCATACGTTCATTTACAGTTCCCGGGCCAAGTGCATTGTTGATATTATGAATTGTCTCCACTGCTTTATGACCCATTTGGAGCTTGAATAAGAAAATCGCTAAAATTTGCTTTTTGTCTAATATCATTTCCATAGCCTAAAATAAATATAAAATAAACAGCAAGTAATAAGTCATTAGAAAAAAAAAAAGCAAGAAATGCACATTAAAATGATTTTGTACATTACCACATTTATTTAAGAATGTATTCCAATATCCAATGGCAAATTTCAACAGTGTAAAAACTGCAGTTATCTGGAGCCTGGCTTCCTTGATTGCTCACCAGTGCATCCGGTTAGCTTTTTCTTGTCTGTTTGTTTGTTTGTTTACTTAGAGTCGAAGTCTCACTCTGTCACCCAAGATGGAGTGCAGTGGCACACTCAACAGCTGCTCAGGCATGCCACTATACCCACCTAACTTTTATTATTATTATTATTATTATTATTATTATTATTGTTATTGTAGAGATGAGGTCTCGCCAAGTTGCCCAGGCTGGTCTTGAGTCCCTGGGCTAAGGCAATCCTCTTGCCTCCACCTCCCATAATCCTGGGATTACAGGTGTGAACCACTGTGCCTGACCTTTTTCTTGTCTTTTATCTGTCTTATGTAGTTGTTCTCAGAGAGAGTTGTTCTGGTACGATCTACTCTGTCATAGCAAAAAGCAGAAATCTGGAAATTGAAATCTTAATTATGACTCTTCTGAAATTTCTACCTTACTCACCCCCCTCATTATTTGAAGCAATTTGTAATGAAGTACATATTTATATATGCAATAAGAATCTTACAATGGAGTAAAAGGTCCAAAGTACAAGGGCGGCAGGGAAGGCAGAGAGGAAGTTATTAGAAATTTAAACTGTGGATCATTTCCTTAGTTGACTATCATATTGCATAGTGATCGTCCTTAAAGCCACGGTACAGAAGGCAACATGAATTTTACATTAGGGCAAAGGGGACTTGGAAGTTGAGATAGAGTAAAGAGAAGTGAAGTTCGTAGTGATAATTGTATTAGATGATTTTTTTTTTATAGGCTTAGGCAAAAATTGTTCCTGGGAGTTAGGAAGCTATGGGAGTAGAGGGTGGGGGGTTCTGAGACTTATCTAGCTGGTCTCATCTCATCAGGGCATTATAACTAATTGTGATTACTAATGAGCTAGCATAGAAACCTTAATACTACTGCACAAAGGTGTTATTAAAGTACCCTTATTTTGTCTTGAGTATCAAAGGTACTTCAAGGCTGTGGTAACTGGCCTGAGAGCTAAGTTCTTGTTTTCTGGGGAAAGAATGTACAATGGTCCATCGACTATCTCTTCGGGTACTAAATTTTAATGGAATTTTATCATATGGATCTTTGTATCATTGGACAACAATGTTCTTAATAGTACTTTTAAGGCTGAAAAATGTTTTTTATATGAAGATTTCTTAGGCCTCTGAAAGCAAACAAAACTATAATTTAAAATTGTTTCTTGGGCAACCTCTTCCAGGTCCCCTCCTGCTATGGAAGTTTTTCTGTCTTCTTAATAAATCCTACTTTCTCACCAAAAAATAAACAAAATTGTTTCTTAATAAAGACATTTTTATGGAGAGCTAAGCAAATACAGTTTCAGTACAGAAGTGTTTGGAGCTCTTTATTTAAAACATGGGTAGGACATCTTTTTCTCTTTTTCCCTCAGTTATTAACGGTTACAAAAGGTTTTGACAAAAATTGGCAATGTGTGGCTGTGTAGATATACTTTTTGATTTGAAAACAACCATATGCTGTGTTTTCTGCAAGTTATATTTATTTTAAAATATCATTAGCTGTTATTTAACAATATGAAAGGAAATCTGTGCTAAATACCAGATTGCTGGTGGCAAGTTGAAATGTAAAATCTTGATTTGCATGGATGAGGGGACATCCCAGTTCTGCATGGAAGACACTACTCAGGTTTCTATCTTTTTAGATGAGAATTTGATCTTTCAAGCATCTGTTCAGATCTGCTTTACTTCTCCCAGCGGTGCTATGACATAGCTGATGTCGAAGGTACTTTCGCAGGTTGAGCTACAACATGGGGAAGGAATACCTAAGTGGTCCCAGGGGGCGTGGGGAAGGCTTCACGGAGCAGGTGGTGCTGGAGCTGCTTCTTGCCAGAGAAGGAGGAGATTGCTGGGAGGGTCTTCCGGCTGAAGGAGGCCATGGAGGAGCAGAGGCCATGGAGGAGCAGAGGCCATGGAGCACCGGAGAGCGTGGCTTTTCCAGACACTGGAGGGTTGTTTGTTTTGTTGGATATACGCATCAGACAGTGGGAGAATGGTAGGGGATGAAGCTGAAGTGGAAGCCACGAGCCAGGTCATGAGTGGTCTTATCTGTCTTTTATTCATTAATTCATTTAGCAAATGTTTATGAAACAACTACTAGGTACCAGGCCTTGCTCTGGGCACAGGCATTCAGCAGTGACTAAACAGACCAGAATCACTATCCATATGGCCCTTAACATTCTAGTGGGAGGAGGCAGACAATACACAGTAGTAAAAATATACAAGTGCACATGACGTATGTGAGTGAAAATTGATAAGAAAGAATGAAGAATCAATAAGAAGAAGAAAATTGATAAGGGGGAAGAATGAGAGGGAGGTTCCACTTAAGGGTAGAAGGAAAGTCCTCATTAAGAAGGCGACGTTGGGATAAAGTGCTGAAGCCAGCAAAGGAGCCGGTGAGAAGAATGTCCGAGAGTGTTCCAGGCTGAGGAAATGTGCAAAGGCCCTGAGGGTGCAGCCGACGAGGCCTTGGAAGCAAAGCATGCCTGGGGCGTAGTGGAGGGAGAGCAACAGAGGCGAAGTCTGAGAAACAAAGAGGGAGGGTCCTGTGAGGCCTTGATGGCCTTTTTCTTTTTTTTTTGAGTTGGAGTCTCACTCCGTCACCCAGGCTAGAGTGTCGTGGCACGTTGACGGCCACCCCAGCGTCGACCTGCTGGGCTCTGACAATCCTTTCCGCTCCAGCCTTCCAAGTAGCTGGAACTACAGGTGCGCGCTACCACGCCTGGCTATTTAAAGGATTTTGACTTTCATCTGAGTGAGATGGGAAGTGATTGGAGAGTTTTGAGCAGAGTGCGATAGAACCCAACTTAAATTTTTTTTTTTTTTTTTTTTTGAGTTGGAGTCTCACTCTGTCGCCCAGACTGGAGTGCAGTGGCCGCTCCTGGCCACCGCAGCCTCGACCTGCTGGGCTCCGGCGATCCTTCCGAGTAGCCGGAATTACAGGCACGCGCTACCACGCCCGGCTGATTTTTTGATTTATTGTGGAGATGAGGTCTCACCAAGTTTTAGCCCAGGCGGGTCTCGAACCTGCGGACTCAGGCAATTCACTCACCTTGGCCTCCCAAGGCACGGGATGACAGGCTGAGCCACGGAACCCGGCCCCAACTTAAATTTTTAGAAAGATCACTGTGCTGTGTTGAGAATAGAGGGCAAGAATGGAAGGCAGGAGGTGAGGGCCACTGCAATACTGCAGAGAGGGGTGCTGGCTTGGACCAGGTTCACAGCAGTGGGGCCAGCTGGAGGGTACGTTTTGTCCTGTAGGTGAGCAAAGGAGCCATTAAAGACTGTTGGTCAGTGAGGTGACATTGGATCTGGATGTTGGAAAGATGATTTGGGGCCAGACTGGGTGGCTCAGCCTGTCATCCCAGCAATTTGGGAGGCCGAGGCGAGTCGATTGCCTGAGCCCGTGGGTTCGAGACCCACCCAGGCAACTTGGCGAGACCTTGTCTCTACAATAAATCAAAAACACGCCGGGCGTGGTAGCATGCGCCTATAGTTCCGGCTACTTGGAAGGCTGAGGTGGAAGGATCGTCGGAGCCCAGCAGGTCGAGGCTGTGGTGGCCAGGAGTGTGACACTGCACTCCAGTGTGGGCAACAGAGTGAGACTCTAACTCAAACAAACAAAAAACAAAAGATGATTTTGGCAGCCCTGTGGAAGAAGGATTGGAGAGTTGTGACAAGGAGCTGAATCAGTTTCCAAAGCTCTGATCGCTAAGAATAGAAACCTTATAAGGATGCTGTCTCATGCCTGTGGGCAGGTTTGTCTGCCCTGGGCAACTTCTTAACAAGGGATAGGAATTAAAAAGATGTACCCATTAGGAAATGCCTCTGTGTACCTTGAAGATTATGATCAGGTTTATTCTAGGGGCGGCCTGCCCAGCAGGTAACCACAGACACCCTCCACGAGCTGGGCACTGTTGTGAGTGCTTGTAAGTATATTAGCTTGTTTAGCCCTCAGGGAGCGTGGTGACTAGGGTGTCCATTTCTTAGATGAGGACACTTGGCGCACAGTAGGCTAAGCACTGGGCTGTGTTGCCCCTGATGGTTCTCTACCATGATGGTTTCATTTAAAAGGCCTCTGGGAGATTCAGAATTGTCTGGTCATCTAGAAAATTAAATGTAAACAAGTGATCACCTAATTTCTTTGTGAACCGTGGTAATGATGGTTTCAGAGAGTTGGTCCCTGCTGGGTCATTATTATTTTGAAGCTCTTTGAGTTGCCAGTTACAGAAATTATTAGCTTAAGAAACACAAGTGGGGATGAAGGGAGAGTTGCAAGAAACTGGAATGTCTGGGGAAAGAAGGGTGTGTGTCTGCGTGTGTGTCTGGGTGCGTGGGGGAATGGTGTAGAAGGTGTGGTTGGATCCAGTGGCTCAGATGCTGCCATTGGGTCACTGGGGTTGTTGGTCTGGGTCTCTTCTCCTGTGGATGGCTTTCTCTTATGGTCGGGAGAGTGGCCCATGTGCAGCTTCGAATACATCATCTTTATTTTTACTTTTTTGAGTTGGCGTTTCACTCCGTCATCCAGGTTGGAGTGCAGTGGCACAGCTCACAGCCACGGCAGCCTTGACCTGCTGGGCTGAGGCTATCCTTTGCCTCAGCCTTTCAAGCAACTGGAACCACAGGTGCACACCACCATGCTTGGCGAATTTATTTTTTACTGTAGAGACAAGGTCTCACCAAGTTGCCCAGGCTGGTCTCGGACCTCTGGGTTCAGGCAATCCTCTCGGCCTCCACCTCCCAAAGTGCTGGGATTACAGGTGTGAGCCACTGTACCCGGCTAAGAGTACATCATCTTTATAAAGTACCTTGATTCCCCTGGAAGCAAAAGCATCTTTCCAAGAAGCTTCAGCAAAAAAGAGCAGGAGAATTCCGATTTACCTGGTGCTGGCCCCGCACCCATCCCTGGGACTAGAGGTGCAGGGTCAACCCCATCTGACGTCAGTTACAGAAAGCTGGGTAGCTTTTGTGGGCCTGTTGCACAGTTGCCAGTAGTAGGCATGAGGGCACAGGTGTCATCCTGTGGCACTACGTTGCCTTAGAAATAAAGGAGCACGTTCCAGCACTACTCTCGACAGTGCATGGGGCGGTTCCACCATTCTCCGTGGGCGGACGTGACCCAGAGTTCTTCTAAGTTACTGGCACCAGTAGCTTTGTTTTATTTTTAGGAAAAGTGATGTGATTTCAGGGTCAGCAGCTTTTCTTTGAACTTGAGCCGGTGGGAGTTCAGTCTGGGCCTGCCCCCAGGTGGGCTGGGAGGGGAAACCAGACAGCCCCCTGCTGAGAACTCACACTGTTCCCTATCACTGTTTCTCTTATATGGATACTTCCTTTTTTCTTTCTCAAGGTAAATGATAATGGGTGGAAAAAACCAGCGGTAGCCTTAAATCAGTATTCCTCAACTTAAAAAAAAAAAAAACCTGACCCAAATTAAAACATATAATCTGGCACACACAGATATGTTGGAAATTTGTTTACCTAACAAAATATAATGAAACAATATTTACCCCTTACTCAATGCAGTGCACTCTAATATTTTCTATTCTGTTTAATTTCACTTCACAAAGCACACACAGGCTGGTCACAACCACTCTAAATCGTTTCACAACCCGCGGCAGGGTGGCAACCCAGAATTTGAAAAACGGAAATTAAGTCAATAAAAACAAGTGAGAGTGGTGTATTTTCTAGACCTGCCACAACAAGATACCACAAAATGGTTGGCTTAAACAACAGAAATGTATTCCCTCACAGCTGTGAGGCTAGAAGTCCAAGATCAAGGAGCTGGTTCTTTCTGAGGGCTGAAGAGAAAAGTTATGTTCCGTGCTTCTTCTCTAGCTTCTAGTGACTTGCTGGCAATTTGGGTTTTCCTTCACTTGTAGACATTTTGCCCCAATCCCTGCTTTCACCTTCACTCGGTGTTCTTGTTCTCCTTGCATGTACATCCGTGTCCAAATTGCACCCTTCTGAGGACACCAGTCATATCTATGCCCGGTATGATTTCATCACAACTAGTTACATCTGCAACAACCCTATCTCTAAATAAGGTCACATACTGAGGTACGGGGGGGGGGCTAGGACCTCAACATATGCATTTTGGGTGGGAGACACAATGCAACCTACAACAAATGATAAAAGCTCAATCAAAAACAAGTGACAGAAGTTCACGTGTTTCAGAGCCCTTGCACGGCAGGCTGTCACCTAGGCATTTTGCTTCATTCATTTAATGAAGCCTTCTTGCCCCTTTTTGTAGCTGTAAAAGCCAAAGCTGATTGATGTTGCTCAGATTGATTGATTGTGCACTTCATTTTGTTATTTATTTTAGAGTTGTGGGGTACATATAAGGGTTTGCTTCGCAAGGAAATCGTGTGCAGGTGAGGTGTGGGCTTCTAGCGGGCCCTCGCTCCTCTGGGGAGTGGGCATGGTACCCAGAGGGTGGTTGTGTCCCCTTATCCCCCCTCCCTTTCACCTCCCGCCAGTGGTGCCCAGGACTGGGTAAATAAAACATGGTCTCTCAGGTTTACACTGAGGTCTCCTCGATTTCGGAGCCCACAGTTTCTCCTGTGTTCCTTATTCTGTACCGTTCCTAGAACATCAAGAAGGCGCCATCCGTGTTTTGGGGGTCCAAGCTGAAATGCTAAACACAGGTGGAAAATAGACTCCAAAATCGCACTGAAGCTCATGGCAAAGGAGTCATCCGAAAGGACTCCCAGGGTCCGGTCCCCCGAGGGATCTACCAGAGGGGCCTGGGATTCAGTGCTCCGGGGAAGGGAAGGGGAAAGGAAGTCAGGAACTCTTGGCCTTGTGCTCCGGGCTCGTCCCCTACGGCAAGCTCCTGCACTCCGCATCCCAGCAGCCGGCCAGCCAGTCTCCCTGCTTTCACGCCTGCCGTCCTCATTCTGAATTTAGATCAGGGCGAAGAGCAGAGAGAAGGAAATGAGCCAGAAAATAGGAAATTAATACTTGGTAAAATCGTCATATTTTAAAATTAATTTATCGGCAATGTCAGACAACAGGAGTTAAATCATTTTATCAGCAGGCTGCTCCACGATTTAAAAATTGGCATCCGTCATTGTAAATCAGGTCTCAGGGGCCCCAGGGAACAGTCTCTAGGGATAAGGCTTGATATAGGGTGGGCAGCCGTGTAAATACTTGATGAGCTCTGCCCTTTTCTTTCACACAAAACCTGAAATATTTCTCCATCCCACCGGGCGGCAACGGTATGTTACATAGTAACTGGAGGCAAGCAGCTATTCAGGTTCATGGCTAGCCTACTTTTACTGCTGCTCTTCCTCCCAGTCCTGGGAAACTGGCCGTGAGAGGAACTCATTTTAGGGTTGTTATTTCTGGCTCATAATTTAAGGGCTTAACCTCCACGAAGACACGTTTTCCCAGTGGCTTGGATGTCACGTTTCTGCCACGTGCCTTTGAGCCCCAGCATCCAGGGATTTGCCACGCTTATACTGGGAAGACCTTCTGTGATCAAAGGCCCGCCTTCCGTCTCTTGTCGTTGCAGCTCTCTGTCAAGGGCGTGTGGTGAGGGTTCCCGCCGGGACCCTGGTCCGGGTGGTGGGCACTGAGCTAGTCATCCCCTGCAACGTCAGCGACTACGATGGCCCCAGCGAGCAAAACTTTGACTGGACCTTCTCGTCTTCGGGGAGCAGCTTTGTGGAGCTCGCAAGCACCTGGGAGGTGGGGTTCCCAGCCCAGCTGTACCGGGAACGGCTGCAGAGGGGCGAGATCCTGTTGCGGAGGACCGCCAACGACGCCGTGGAGCTGCACATCAAGAACGTCCAGCCCTCGGACCAAGGCCACTACAGATGCTCCACCCCCAGCACAGACGCCACCGTCCAGGGCAACTATGAGGACACAGTGCAGGTTAAAGGTACAGTCCTCACACGGGGTGGTCCTGCCACGTGGCCATGGATGACTTTGTTGACACTTAAGCTCTCTGGGGCTCTGCTCCCTCCTCTGTCCATCACATCTTCCCTGGTGAAAGACATCTGCCCAGGCTGTTCTCAAACCCCTGGGCTCAAGCAGTCCTCCCAAAGTACTGGGGTTACAGGCATGAGTCACTGCATCTGGCCCTTCTCCAGTGTGGCTCTAAACCACCCCGTGGCTAGTGAGTTGGAGGCAGCATGGCATGGCCCTGGGGAGCCCAGCCCTGGAGCCAAGCTGCCTGTACTCAGTGGTCTAGTTGCTGGCTCTGTCACTTGTCAGCTGAGGCTGTGGGCGTGTTACATGCCTCAGCTGCCTCCTCTGTGACACAGTGCCTGCCTTAAAGGCTGTGAGGCCAGGGGAGCTAACAGGTGCAGAACCTTAGAGCAGCGACACAGCAAGCATTCAGTGCTTAGTGACAAGGGGACTGTCATGATGAGGATGTTCAGGTTTATGGGAATAACAGACACTAAGATTCACGTCTGTCTCTGCGACTTTCGTGATTTAAGTACCTGTTTGTACTAGGAGTTGTAAGTTATATTCATAGAAAGAATGATATGGTCATTGCTGGTTTATTGACCCAGCTGTGCAAATAAGCAAGCCTTATGTATCTGGAATGTTGAAGGCTTTGTAGTTTGGTTGTTTTCTTTTGTTTTTCATTTTCCAAGTCCTTTTAGATTTACTCACACATTCAGTTCTCTGAACCCAATCAAGATAGGGCAGGATATTTCCCTAATTTACTCCTGAGGAAATGGAAGAGCATAGGTTAATCACTCGCCTAAAATCACACAGCTAATTAGTAAATGAGCAACAACAAGCCATTTTAATTTGGGGCTAACAAAATAGAAACACGATGGGTGTTAGTATTACTTAGCTATGCTTTTATTTGTACCCTGCCTTGTTCGCAAAAGGACTTATGTCTGAGTAGGAATGTATGATTATCAGGAAAGTAGAAAATGTGATGATGAGAAAGGAGAGGGTTGATTGAGGCATTCACTCCCTCTGTGATGATTTGTAGAAACTCCCATTTCTCAGATACTGTGTCCTCTCTAGCCTCATGAGAGGATGAAACAGCCATGTCCGTTGAATGTATTAAGACATCAAATCTGCTTCTTCCATTCCCTTTTCCTTATTCCTATAGAAAATCCAGAGGTTTTTTTTTTTTTTTTTGAGTTGGAGTCTCACTCTGTCACCCAGACTGGAGTGCAGTGGCTGCTTTTGGCCACCGCAGCCTCGACCTGCCGGGCTCTGGAGATCCTTCCGCCTCAGCCTTCCGAGTAGCCGGAATTACAGGCACGTGCTACCACGCCCGGCTCATTGATTTATTGTAGAGATGAGGTCTCGCCAAGTTGCCCAGGCGGGTCTCGAACCCGCGGGCTCAGGCAATCCACTCACCTCAGCCTCCCAAAGGCGCGGGATGACAGGCTGAGCCACTGAGCCCGGCTTTTTTTTAGAAAAAAAGTTCCGTAAGACATGCTTGTATTAGAGCTAAATAATGCAACAAGTCATGCATCCATTAGGGCAAATGCACCCTTGTCATCCCGAGTGGAAGGGAGGGAAGCAGGAGAATTTCCCCCATGTTTTTCTGCTTCTTCTCCAGTCTTTGAGAGGTGGGAGAAGTCAGGGGAGGCTTTTCTTAGGTCAGGGAAGCAGGTGGATGACCATGAGGTAGACTGCTTGCTGCCCAGGGGAACCTCTGGCAGGGGCCGTGCGTGGTCCAGGGTCTGTCTTATCTTCAGCTTCGTGGTTTTGAGATTGCTCCCCCGCACCTGGAGAGATGAACAGGGCTGAAGAACTGAGTCATGTTAGCTGGACTCATAGACTGGTGTGTATGCCAGAAGGTCATGGTGTTCATTTTGTAGTAGTGATTGCTCCTTGGGATTTGCCCTTCTAAAGATGTAGCAGTTTTTAATGTTATCTAGACTAGCCCCCTCTCTTTTTACATCATCATGTCATCTTCTGCTTTCCTGGTAATCACATGCGTTCCTACTCAGACATAAGTCCTTTTGCAAACGAGGCAGGGTACAAATAAATGCATAATTAAATAATAATAGCAACAATAATAGTGTTTCTATTTTGTTAGCCCCAAATTAAAATGGTTTGTTCTCGTTCATTGACTGAATTAGTTTCTGAGCTTGGAACTGAGGGAAAAACCAAAGAGATGGTGAGTCGTGGTGTTTGAGGATGGTCTTGTCCAGTTTATAGACAAGCCTGATGGATCCTCCCTGCCCCCTGCTAGAGCCGCCTCTCTGGTTACCACGGCACAGTATCCATCTCCACTCACTCGTTCTTCCTTCTTCATCTTTGGTCCCCTTTTTGGTGCCTGTCCTTCTGCCAGCAGGTCCTCATAGAGTGAGTCGCTGAGGCTTTGGCCTTCCTTGGCCTGTTCCTGTCCCCTGGGCGCGCTTTGCTCACCCTGGAGGGAACGCCTTGGGCACTTGCCAGGCTGCCAGCCGCGGGCAGGTCATGACCATCCTTCTGGCCCAGCCCCTAGCAGGCCATCTTGTCTCCAGACTTCCACGTCTTTTATCGTGCCTGCCCAGGGCCGGGCGCTGTCCCGGGAGCTTGCCCTCTTCAACGCATTTGACTCTCAAGTCAACTTGATGAGGAAGGTCCGGTGTCCCCCCTCGTTTGGGAAGCGGAGGCACGCAGAGGCGCCGTAACTCGCGGCAGAGCACATCTCCGAGGCACGGCCCCCAAGAGGGGCGTTCCCCACCCAGTTTAGCACGGGGTTTCACGAGCGCTGCCTTTATTTCCTCTCCAAGTCGGCAAGTCGGCTGAGAGGACAGCAGAGCGGCCCTCCGGGCGTCAGCGCAGGGGCAGGGAGACGCCGGCCCTCGGCCGC